GCGAAAACAGAGGATGGGAAGTTAGTACTCTGTGTGTGTTTGTGTTTATTACATTTACTGCAGAACCTAAAAAAAAAAATCTCAAGCTTGGGAGATATGTCATTAATAGAGTTAGAGGAGAGGATATTTTTTTATTTGTTGGGTACTACATATCTTTATTATTTTTTTCTGATTAAAAAATAAAGTATTTTACTTAAAAAATGTTTAAGTGTTTTTAATAGGGCAATATGAAGTAAAATGTTACTGACTCAGTTGGGCTTCTATACTTCTGAAAATTTTTCTATTATCTAAATATTAACAGCTAATTACACTGTTAAAAAGAGCCATGTTAGAGTAGATAAATAAAATCCAAGATGATTTACAAACAATTTCCTTTAAGCTTTGGAATGTATTTAAATTCTTGCATTTGAAAATGAAGAGATTCAAGTCTGAGGAATCCCAGTATTTCAGTCTGTAAAATGAAACCACACAGAAAAGAAAGGCATAGCACTTACTTTCTTCTTAATCTGTCCTTTTCATACTTCCCCACTAGAATAATGCTATTGTTCTCAGAATGGCAAAATTTCATCATGACAGGGCTTCCTTTTGTCTTCCATGTCTACAAATTCTCTCTTAAATTTTAATGTTATAAAAACATTTGTTTTGATTTACTACTATCTTCTATTGGTGTAAGAATCAGTAGAATTGTTATAAAATTAAGAATTAAGAAAGAAAAGCAAGAAAAGTTCATGTAATCTGCAAAGAATTTTCAGCCAGTTTTAGTCTGATCAGGTTCAAATGTTGACATTCTGTTCTTACTTGTAAAAGTTGATAGTATCATTTACTGGTGAGGATTCTTAGGTCATTTATTTGGCTTGTGTGAAACTTCTAGTATCCTGCACGAACAGTCTCCACCTCCCCATCCATGTATATTACCACTTGATTACCACTTTAAGTCTCATTCTCATCCTCTATATAGAAATTAGTCCTCCCTCTTGTCACAAAAGTCATTTAAAATAATTTTGGTTAAAACTAAAAAGCTATCCTTGTAGCTGACAATGTATAAACGTTTTTACTGATTTTTGCTTAAACAGTTGGATACTATGGAATACCACAATGGGGTGAAGGGTCAAAGAAGTACAATTAGCATTTGATAGATGGTCATGGGGATGGAAAGCACAGCATAGAGAATGAAGTTAGCATTAACGTATCAGCTAGGTAGAGAGCCAGAGGAGAAAAAGAGCAATTAAGAGAATTGTTTTATAAGCTATATAAATGTCCAATGTACTGTATACTTGAAACTAATAAAATAAAATTTTAAAAATGTACTAACCAATGTACTGTATACTTGAAACTAATAAAATAAAATTTTAAAAAGGTATTTGAAAAATATGTCCATAAATGTCTAAACTATCTGATTATGAGGTACCAAAAATAGTTACAGTTGAAAAAAAGCAAAGTCCAATAGTTCATCAGAAATCGGTATCATTTAATATCACACTTATTAAGTATGGAGAATCTTAAAAAAATGTGCCTTGTAATAATTAAAGGCATAGGTGAATATCGTTTCATTCTCTCCCCAACATCTGCCAAACATCTGCAAGGCCTAAATCAGATTATTAGACATACTATGGGTCAAGAAATGCTCTTTAAGGCAAGAGATCATTAAAAGCATCTTATAAGAGAGATTAAGTAATACAGAGACTAGAGAAAATACTTATCTGAAGTATTTTCTCTGGTACTGTCAGAATTATATATAGTTCCTTCTGAAATCAGATTCTAGCCACCTATGCACTCAAGCAAAAAATGATTATATAGGAATCAGCATAAATAATTTACTTGGGGACTATAACTATTTAACATATAATATTATTACAGAACTTGTATCAAATGTCCCTCTTTATTTCACAGTTGAGTTCCTCCCCATTGATACTCATTTTTTCTTGACCTTCTATTCACTTACTTTAAATTGGAATCCCTGATTTATTCTTACTAATACAATCTATAGATTGGAGACTGCCTCTGAGCCTCAGCCATATGGTTATATCTCTGATTTTTTCTTTCATGATTCCTACTGCTTGGTTGGGTCTCCAAAACTCTTCTACTCCTAACAGAACACTCCTTTTTACTTTTTATGGACCTGTTTGATGCCAAACATTTGCCTGGAAGTCATCTGATTCTTGTTTCCTATAGCTCGGCCCATTTCCCAGTACTAAATCCTCTCAAGTCTCTGGATCTAGGTCCATATTTCTACCTTCTCCAGTCAGACATGGTGCCAGATAACAGCACATTACTCTTTTTTGTCTAGTTTTATTATGAAATATAAGATGCTAGACACTGCTGATGTTGGTGTCCACAAATATCAAGTAGGTAACAAATAAGAAGGCCAAAAGTAATACTGTCTAGAAATTCTAAATAATAATTGATAGTTATATTGAGTGCTTCATGAATGGCAAGCTCCGATCTAAAGACTTTATATTAATCTTCACTAAAATTCCCTATAAAACAGATTTTGTTATTCCATTTGCAACTGATAAAATAGAGGCATAGAAATGTTAAAAAAAAAAACTTGTCATAGATCACACATTTAAAAAAATGACAAAACTAGGCTTTAAACTTCATTGTCTATGGTCTTTATTGGCTCACTACAAGACCATGAGTTGTGCATATATAGTTATGTTCACATCAAAGGAACCCGTGCTTCCGTGTATGCATGTGTGCATGTAACTGAAAGAATGATTTATTCTTTTTAAGCACATTGTCACATTCTTAATCAAGGGAGGAAATTTGCATCACCTAGGGAAATTTTGTAAACTATTTCTGCCTGTCCCTACCCCAGATCAATTGTGTCAAGGTCTATAGAGATGGCTCCTAGAAATATCTATTCTGAAAAGTTTCTCCAAGTGATTTTTATACCCTTTCACACTTAAGACTACTGATTTTGGAATTTAGATGCACCTCTTAGTATTACTATGCAATTCTCGGAACATCTTTACCCACCTTTGCTCACTGTGCATTTAGGGAATATTATGCTAGATTTACTGAATAGATTTTGGATATAAATTTACTCAAACAGCTTTAGTGCAATGATGAAAGGGATCCTAGAGTACATGGCCTTATAGTGAAGAAGATCCTAGAGTACATGGTCTTTTCCCCCTGACTTAGGCTCTTCCTGTCATCTGACTAACTTTCCTACTTCTTTACAATTTGTTCTCTGGGATCTAGTTTCCTTCCTAGTAAATTTGATTTCCACCAAATTTTAACTAGGGAAAGTGTTTCTTCCCTGAGAACATGGAAAAATATAAATTTCTATTTAAAAGTAATATCCTCCCAATATAAGTTCTTCCCTATCTCTCAAGTCTTACCCCACTTCTAACTCAGTGCTGAATTATGTGAATTTTACATTGTCAAAATACCTTATGTTAGTAAATTCCTTCAATTTTCAGTACCACTATCAATAGTAATTTACTAGTATCACTAGTAAATTCCTTCAAGTTTCAGTACCACATTCAGGTCTCTTTGCCTTTCTTTAGCATGATGGCAATGTCTTCTCTCTACTGAGATCTATCATCCTCTCTGTTGCTAGAGTAAAATTCCTAAATCATTTCCCAGATGCTCAGAGTTTTACTGTGTCCTGTCTCCCATTGCCAAAAGCATCAAGTCTAAAGCAAGGTATTCAAACTACTGTCTTCAAAGAAATCTTAACCTAACCTAACTGCTCAGCATCATTTGTGAGACATTTTTAGTCTCTCTGGACACTGAAACAGGCCTATAGTATCTTGTTATTGACACTTTAGTTATTCTATTCTCTCTTCTTAGAATATACTTTTCCTTGACTTACTCCATTCAAAACACACCCATCCTTTAAGAACACATTTAAGTGCTACCTTAGTCATGAAGCCTTAGACATGATATCAGAAAATATCCACCAAGAATAATCTCTCCGATAACTGAAGCCAATATCAATTTGCTTAGCACGTTATTAATAGTAGCAGCCGATATTTATTAGAAAATTGTTATTATCCAGGCATTGTGTTAAATTCTTTATATGCATGATCCTATTTAGTTAGCAATGCAAAACTATAAAGTTGTAACCATTTTACAGATGAGGACATTGGAGCTGAGAAAGGTTAAGTAAATTACCCAGAGTCACACAATAAGTTTCAGAACCCATACTTGAACTCCTATCTGACAGCTGTGCAAACTAATTACATCTTTACTTATCCCTAAGAATATCTGGCACCATCAATGACATACTGTAGGTGGGAAGTAAAATAGTCATGATATAGGATTCTTCAAGAGATTTTAAAGTATAGTATCCAACTGAGGAAGTCGTTGACACCCAAAATTATGAGGCCATCAAAGAGCAAGAGCAATTATCAAGGAAAATAGGAGATAGATATTTTTTTCTGAACTAAAATCTACCTGAATAGCAGAGCCAATTAAAAGGAAGAGAGCAAAGTAATAATGAGCCAGAGATAGAGAGAACGTCACATGAAAAGTTGAAAGACACCCGGTGGGAGAAAGAGAAAGTAACCTGCCTTTTTATTTACTAAAACCTTCAAACTGACCTGACAAACTGGTATTCACTGAGTTTCAGATCTTAGAAGAACATTATAGGTTGAATAGTCTAATTATGTAATAATTTTAGATCTCTATAGGATCCCTGATAGGGTCTCAGCCAGCTCTGCTTTGAACTCGAGCAATCCCAACTTCCCTCATCTTGTTCAGATCAATTAGAAAATTCTTAATTGATTAGGTTTAATAACCGGGGTGGCATCATTTGAGCTGAAAGTAAGCACTCAGATTCTGAGCTCAATGAACAGATCAGGAAGCCCCGCCTATGCATTCACTTACAGCCCTGGGGCGGGGACGAGTACAGGAGGAGACAAGTGGAGCTTTCCCAGGGGCTTGAGGATAGGACAGCTTTGGCGTGAGACCCTGAAAACCTGGCCCATTGGCACAGATTCCTGATCTATGTCCAGCCTATGTGGAGAAGATGGTTCCAATTAGGTTAACCTTCATCCTTTACCCAGCAATCTTCCTTGGAAAGCTTTTCTCAGAGCTGTCTGCACAGCTCTATTCCTTAGACTATATACAATGGGGTTGAGGAGAGGAGTCACCACAGTATAAGTGACAGCAATAAGCTGATCTCGCTCAAGAGAGTAACTGGCTTTGGGCTTCAAGTACATGAAGGAGGCACAGCCATAGTGAACAATGACCACTGTGAGATGTGAAGCACATGTGGAGAAGGTCTTCTTTTTCCCTTCAGTGGAGGGTATTCTAAGTATTGATGCCAGGATGAAGGCATAGGAGATGGTGATGAAGAAGAAGGAGACCAGGAGGACCAGCAAGCTGAGGATGAGAATGCCAATCTCACTCAGGTCTGTATCCCCACAGGCCAGGCTTAGCACTGGTGGTGTATCACAAAAAAAGTGCTGGATCTCATGGGAGCTGCAGAATTGGAGGTGGAAAATAATCAATGTCATTCCCAGGCCAAAGAGGTATCCACTCAGGAAGGAGATGCCAATGAGCTGGGCACAAAGGATAGAGTTCATACGGCTGGCATAGTACAGTGGAGCACAGATGGCCACATATCTGTCATAGCCCATGACAGCCAGGAGAAAGCAATTGGTACAAGCCCATGAGGCAGAGAAGAACATCTGGGCAGCACAGCCCAGATAAGAGATGGCCTGGTCCCCCAGGATCAAGCCAGAGAGCATTCTGGGGATGATACCCAAGGTGTAGCATGTCTCAGAGAAAGATAGGAAAGAAAGAAAGAGGTACATTGGCATGTGAAGATGGCTATCCAGCCTGATGACTATAATAATGAAAATATTGCTGGTCAGGGTGACAAGATAGAGGGAGAGGAACAATGCAAAAAATAGGAGTTGCAGCTCCCCAAAGTTAGAGAAGCCCAGGAGGACAAAGCCCCTCCAGGAGGTTGCATTAGTCTGTCCCATTCTGAGTGACATCCTTGATAGGTTTGCTGATTCCTTCCACGGTGCCAGTAGATGCCTAGTTTCTTTGGAAGGCAGGAAGTCGTGGATTGTCATTTCTTTATGCCTGTTGTAACTTGAAAATAAAGTTCTGTTTAGACAGCAACCAAACTTCAGACAGGTATTTGTTACATTAGATACACAGATTTATGGATCCACTCTCACATGCACTTATGTGCACACACACAAAGGTATACAATATACACATGCATGCACACAGACATATATATGATTATACACATGTGGACAAATATATACATGCATGTCACATACAAAACACACACACCTAATTATGGACACGTCACACATTTAAAACTGAGTTGCACATTTACCATTAATGACCATGTCCACAAATATATCAGTTGTGCATATACATTACAAATGCATATACATTCAGATAGCACATAAATACATAAATATATACACCACACATATATTTATGCCAACATCAGGCATACATTGCCACAAAAGAATACACATTGCCGGTTAGAACTTGAGGTGGGGTGCCTTAATGAAAATTATTTTATAATCATGCAAGAAAGTTAAGAGGGTGAAGGGATTTTGGCTCAAAGTCACACAGAGGCACGACTAGAGAAAAAATGTCTTGAGTCCTAATCTAACATCGTTTCCCTCAAACAATAATGACTCTTCTCAGATACTGTGAGACATTCACTAATATGAATACAGAATAAGAAACATATTTCTCAGAAAATAATTTCTTGGTTCTATACCATTCCTTTACACATGAGTTTATGCTGAGCACTGAAGGAAGAATCAGGGCTCAGGGCAAGTTGTGTACCCTCAGCCCAAAGATCAGCCATCAGTCTGTACTATCTTTGAAAAATCTACTGTGAACCAAGGCATGGAATAGATTATGTATAGGAGGATTCTCCACTCACCTGAATTGGTGCACAGTGAGGGCAAGTCCTGCTTTTCAGCAATCATGCACTAGACTGCCTCCCCAGCAGGCCTACCTGCAAGAGAAAGAACATGAGATCCATCTCAAAAACTCTTATTCTGAGCAACGAGTAATGTTCCCAAATGACACCAGGATATCTCCTTTTATATCTCTACCAACAGGTGGTAAATCATATCTGTTTCCTTTAAAACATCTTCTCTCTCTGAGGGATCCCCAGTCCCAAGAGGTGCTGTTTCAGGAAGCACATGTAATTGTGCTTGTCATTAGCTGGGACTATTCTTTTGGGAAAAGCAAGAAAAGGAAATAAACAAAAAGGTACTAGGATCATAATTTAAACAATAATTTTTATATCTATTATGTGCTAAATATTATATTAATTATTTTCACATGATCTATTTTAAAACTTGCAAGGACCTAGTAATAAAGTGATAATAGTTGCATTTTACAGAAAGCAAAACAGCCTTATAGGGGATCCAAAAGATAAGTATGATGTGGAAATTAGAATAATTATTGGTTTTATAGCTATTTCTTTGTACTATTATTTTGGGGTTTGTTTGCTTTAGTTTTTTTGTAAACATCCTTGATTGGATAAACAAAACTTTATTAATTTATTTTAATATATTTTTATTTTTAATTACAGATGGCATACAATATTGTATTAGTTTCAGGTGTACAACGTAATGATTGGACATTTATATAACTTACAAAGTAAAGTTTGATAATTCGAGTATCCATCTGACACCATACATAGTTAATACAATACTAATGACTAGATTCCTTATGCTATGCTTTACATCTCCATGACTATTTTGTAACTACAAAATTGTACTTCTTAATTCTTTTCACTTTTTCACCCAAACCCTTACCCGACTTCTATCTGGCAACCATCAAAATGTTGTCTTATTTATGAGTTTGTTTCTGTTTTGTTTATTTTGTTCTTTAGATTCTACATGTAAGTGAACTTGTATGGCATTTGTCTTTCTCTGACTTACTCAGCACAGTACCCTCTAGGTCCATCCATGCTGTTGCCAATGGCAAGATTTTATTTTTTTTATGGCTGAGTAATATTCTATTGTATATATGTACCACAGTTTCTTTATTCATTTCTCTATTGATGAACACTCACATTGCCACCATATCTTGGTTATAAATAATGCTGAACTAAACATATGGAATCACATGTCCCTTTAAATAATGTTTGGGTTCCTTCAAATATATACCTAGAATTGGGATTAATTGGTCTTTCTTTGCCTCTTGTTATAGTCTTTGTTTTAAAGTCTATTAGTCTGGCATAAGTATTCCTACCCAGCTTTTTTGTTGTTTTCATTTCTATTTTTATGAAATATTTTTTTCATCCCTTTACTTTGTCTGTGTGTGTTTTTTAAATTGAGTCTTTTGTAGGAAGCATGTGTAAGTGTCTTGTTTTCTTATCCATTTAGCTACCCTATCTATTAATTAGAGCATTTAATTTATTGATATTTAAAGTAGTTATTTATTTACATGTTGTTATTTCCATTTTATTGTTCATATCTTTTATCTTTTTTCTTCTTCCTCTTAAAGAAGTTCCTCTAACTTTTCTTGTACTGATTCGGTGGTGATGAACTCTTTTAGCTATTTCTTGTCTAGGAAGCTCTTTATTATTTAGAATCTTCAATTCTAAATGAGAGCTTTGCTGGGTGGATTAATCTTGGTTGTAGTCCTTGCTTTTCATCACTTTGAATATTTTCTGGCAATCTCTTCTGGCCTGGAAAGTTTCTGTTGAGAAATCAGCTGAGAGTCTTATGGAAGCTTCCTTGTAGGTAACTAATTGCTTTTCCCTTGCTGCTTTTAAGATTCTCTCCTTGTCTTTAAACTTTGGCATTTTCATTATGATATGTCTTGAAGTGGGCCTCTTTGGGTTTGCCTTGTTTGGGACTATCTGTGCTTGCTTGGCTTGCATGTCTATTTTCTTTGCCAGGACAAGGAAAGTTTTTTATCATTTTATTTTTTTTCAAATAGGTTTTCAAATCCTTGGTCTCTCTCTCTTCTTTTCCTGGTACCTCTATGATGTCAATGTTGGTAGACTTAATGTTGTCCCACAGGCCCCTTAAACTGTCCTCACATTTTTGGATTTATTTTTTCTTGTAGCTCTTCTGATTCAGTGATTTCTGCTATCCTATCTTCTAAATTTTTAATTCAATCACCTTTTTCATCTAATCTACTGTCGATTCCCTTTAATACACTTTTTTTTCACTTTGGTTATTGTATTTTTTATTTTTGGCTGGTTCTTTCAAATGTTTTGTAGCTCCACTTTATGTTTTCTATCTCTTTGTTAAAGTTCTCACTAATTTACCTACTCTTCCCCTAAGTTCGTTGAGCATCCTTATAGCCAGTGTTTTGAATTCTGCATCTGGTAGAATCTTGTCTCCATTTGTTTACTTCTTTTTCTGGAGTTTTCTTCTTTTATTTTATTTAGGACTTGTTTTTTTGTCTCCCCCTTTTGGCTGCCTGCCCATGTTTGTTTCTGTGTATTAGGTCTAGTTACTATGTCTCCTGGTTTTAGTAGAGTGGCCTTATGTAATGGACGTGTTGTGGGTCCCAGTGGCACAGTCTTCCCTGGTCACCAGAGCCAGGTGCTTCAGGTATATTTCTTATATGGATTGTGTGTGCCTCCTTGTTGTAGTTGAGCTTTGGTTGCTGTTTCCACCCCGATGGGAGAGATTGACCTTTGGGCAGATTGGTTGTGCAGATTTGCTGGAGAGAGGCCAACCCTATGGAACAGGATTCACTTTGGCAGGGCTCTAGTGCCTGTTCAGTCTGCACTTTGGATGTGTTGTGCTCAAATGTAGCCCTAGGCAATGCTCTGGCTTGGTACAAAGCTGGTCACCAGGCCACAAGCCAAGTTCAGCTGCAGCCTCCACCCTGCCTGGGGCCACCTGGCATGAACCATCCAGTAATTCGCAGATGGCCACCACCCATGCTGGTCTTGAAGGTGCCTTGAGAGGCTAAGCCATGAATCGAGGTCGGCTGCTGCTACTGCTTGAAATTGCTCAGCAAGTTTAGGGCGTACGTGGAGAGCTGAGACTGCTTATTTGGGTTTTGGAAACTTTTGATAGATTTTAAGAAGTCTGCAGAATGACCCAAGACAAGCCATTTGTATGAAAGCCACTGGATGAGACTCTGATCAGGCTAAAACATTTTTTTTTTTTTGGTATGGGTGGTTCTCAGGGAATCACCAGGATGAGGTAATTGGTGTTAGCCAAATTAATGGAGACTCACATATGATGTCTGCCTGCATCTGCACATCGGGACATAGTAGGTTCAACAAAGAAACAATGACTTCTACCAGCACGTCTTTCTGGGAGGAAGCTGCTCCTTCACCTTTGACCTGAAGCCAGACAATTCTGTTCCTCCTCATATGTGCCTAGCACTTTTCAGTCTGCTGCCCCAGTGCTGGAGCTCAGAGCAAGTGAGTCTGTAAACAGATAAAAAATGTCTGTGACTCCAGCCACCCTCTGTCTCACTCAGCCACAGTCTCCACTGTTTTTCACAGCAGAAGTTGTGGAGACTTCTCTTAATAATACTGGAACCCTGGGCTGAGTAGCCTGGTGTAGGGTTGGGACCCCTTGCTCCTCCAGTGTTATTTCTGCATTTGAGACATCTGTCCTTATTCTCATCTGCCACATGAGGTGTAAAACCAGCTCATTTCATGTCTCTACACCTTCTACCAGTCTTGAGGTGACCTCTTCTGTTCAGGTAGACTTCAGGTGACTACCAATAATGACTTTTCTATTGGTTAGTGGTAATTTTGATGTGGCTGTGAGAAGAGGCAAGCACAGCTTTTATCTACTCTGCCATCTTGCCCAGAACTTTCTTGTATTATTGTTTTATTTGTTGGTCTAGGGAGTACAACATATATTTAAACTTAACACAATGTACTTAAACTTAATATGAAATTATTGCTAGTAAAATATAAAAAAATTGCAATGGCATTATTCCATTTACTTGAATTCAGCAATACACTATAATAATTTTTACACAGTCATACATCTTTTTTAAAAAATTA